TCTCACATCAATTAATAGACTTTCCGACAACATTCGGAGCTTGATTGATTGATTGAATCAAAGTTCTCTTCTAGACTTGTTTTTATGCAGTGATTTGAAAAGGGTTTTTTGATCTCAAATGGGGTAGTATACATGTGATTTTTTACTACTACATAGTGATATACTTAACGTATCGTACTATCTAGTGTAATCAGTTGCTTTGTAAAAACCGCAATAGCCTGGAATTTTCTTTTTATATTTTCCTCTTAGCCCCGCCCCTACGTGAAAATAAAAGTTCGTGTCGTAGTTAGTTTTTCCAATCTGGCAACACATCGCGGTTTTGAGAACGCACAATTTGCGCTAACATTGACGGTCAAGAACGAAACGCCAAATTTACTACATTAAGGGCTGGTTTCTCAATAGCAAGTCACCTCCGGGTTAGTTTTAACTCCAGGGTAAGCGTGTCGAGTTGCTGTGTTTACCCTGGAGTTATGCCTTACCCGGGGGTGACTCTCTATTGAGAAACCGGCCCCAAACAATGTAAACAAGTTACTGTGACAATGTCTCGTGTCACACGATGCGCACGATACCACACGTCGTTGAACCAATGAATTATAGCTAAAAACTGGAATGCGCACACATTGCCATATCTGCCAAAAAAATGAAGCCATGAAAGACAGATGCCACAAGGGGGAATGTTGTTTTTTTCTGTTGCTCGCTGACATATGACGTTTTCGAAAGTTTTGTCATATTTCCCTTCACAGGTTTCATCAATTGGAATACGTGTTGGAAGCAATTTTCGCCATTTAACATAATGAGTGCGACAAAAACAGGTATCCCCTCCGCAGCAGCTGCACTAGGCTTCAAGTTCGTCCTTATGTGTTAGCATTCCAGTTTTTGGTTATAGTTCATTGCGTTGAACTGTTGAAGTCAGCTGTCATTTTGAGGCATTTTGAGCAGCGTTGCCAGATGGTCAGCGGCTCGAATACTATTGGTCGCCGCTGTGGCGCTAAATTCAAATTACAGTTTGTTTTTCTGTGACTAATTCTATAGACACTATGCTGGGAAATAAAAATAATTTAGAATCCCACTATATCATCACCATTTAGCCTATAGAATAATGTCGAGCAATTTTTTCACTGATTTTTATACATAGTATACTACCCCATTGGAGCCGCCTATTGGGCGTAGCGACCATTTAATAACTACTGCGAAGTGCGAAAGCACATCTAAAACTTCCAAGAAAACTAACCAAGTTGTTAGAAAGAATTTTTACACTGCAGAATACAATGTAGGTAATAAACAACTTCATCAGAAATCAACCCTACAATTTGGAACAGAACAGGTTTGAAAATGTTGAAAATATTCTGAATATGCATTAGAGAAATACCTCGAGAAATACATTCCGTTGAAGTCCATAATTGTTTTAGGTTTAAGTTTAAATATTTTTTTTTTACATATACATTTTACATTTATACAACTTTCACACGCTTTGTCAATGAAACTGTTTTTTTTTCGGACAATAAAGCTTTTTTGATTTGATAAATGCATATCAGCAAAAGCCATGGATTAACCAGTCACACTTCAAAGAAATCAAAAAGAACTTAAACTATGGGACAAATATAAACTTGAAAAAACGCAAGAAAGCTATCAATAATATAATTATGATGAAAAATGCGCTCAAGCAAAAACTAGATGCTGCAAGAAGAACAAACGAAAATAATTTAGTGTGATCAGAATCAGCAAAAAAAAAATATTCATATACCTGAGTCGAAATTTGAAGTCAAAGGTGTCAATGATCACTTAGATAATAAATAAATGGCTGAAAGCTTTGCTCAACAGTTCAACACAGTTTTTATCCATCAAGATTTCTGCCTACCACCACTTGTACAGTGTACCAAAGTTGAGAACTCAATGAATAGGATAGATTTCACGAAAAAAAAGTTTACTGAAGCATTAATGAAGTCGAGGAAAGATTCAAGTCCTAGACCAGATGAAATTCCTACAATACTACTCCAAAATTATAGAGGAACAGTTGGTGGTGGACTCACAGATGTGATGAAGGAGTGCATAGAGCTTGGAAGAATCCCAGAAAAATGGAAACTTTCCATAGTAATACCTCTATACATGAAAGGCAACAGACACAAACCAGAAAACTATGTATATTTTTCTAGGAAAATAACCTTATACCCCCATTACAACACGAATTCCTAGCAAAACGATCCACTACAACAAACCTGCTCCATTGCCTTGATGATTGGACAAAAGAGTACAATAATGGTCAGCCAACAGATATAATTTTGATAAAGTTCCTCATAATCTTTTGGTGGGAAAGTCGGAGTATTTTGGAGTACGCGGACAGCTGCTAGAATTAATACCTGATTTTTTATATGAAGGGTATTATCAGGTACGAGTCAATGGTACATTGTCGGATAAACATCGAGTTAGTAGTGCCGTTGTTCATGGGTCTGTAGTAGTACCATTGCTTTTCACATCATACCTTTTTGATTTTGTCAATCTCATAGAAACATCAATGAAGAACTTTGCAGATGATGGCCGATGGGAAACTTTATGCAAATCCAACTCTACATGCAGCGCAGCTTTAAAAAAAACCTGCAAACTGTTGAGGAGTAGTCAAGGGCATGGGGGATGAAATTGAATCGAGTCAAGAGCACCATTTTTAGGATCAGCCAAAATAATCCAAATATTGAGTACATGCTAAATTACTACGTTCTTTCGAAAGTACCAGAGCAAAATGATCTCAGAGTTACAGTGACATCATGCTTTTAAGGACCACTCGGTAGAGATGGTTACAAAACTTTACAACAGCTAAATCAGGCCAAAATTGAAGTATCTTGCTTTTGCAGTGTGGAAACTATGTCAAAGATATAGAGATATTGGAAAAAGTCCAAAGATTACTAAAATTCCATTAGAGTTATAAGCTTTGGACTATCCTGAGACATTAAAGAGATTTAAACAAACATATTTAAGAAAAAAAAGGCACAGGGGCGATTTGATCTAAACTTATAAAATAAATCAAATCAAAATATCTTCAAGTTAACTAGGTATACAATGAGTTCGTAACACTCAAGTTCCAAAGAGCTTGTCTTTGTATATCATAATTATAAGCTGATAAATAAAATGTGCAAGCTAAACACGTACTACAGTTGGGAATACATACATATACAATAATAATGATGATAATAATAATAGCAATATTTAACCCTGATAACTATGAGTATAAATACAAACTAGTTTGTATGAAAAAAGGAAAGGAAAAAAAAAGATCCGAAATTTTTAGGAGTAAACCAAATCACAAAAACAGGTAACAGATGCACAAGAATCATTTAGGTAATTATATTTTTGAAGCTCTCAGCATCTTTGATGATGTATTTTTTAACGTTTTTCTCAAAAATTTGATAATAATTGTTTATGGGTTTCAGTTCAATTGGGAGAATATTGTAAAGTTTCATGCCTACGTAGTCAATATATTTGATAGAAGTTGCATTGTTTGGCTTTAGGGTAGTGTAGTTTAGGTTAAAAGTGGCAAGTGGCTATGACAACTTCAAGTCATTAACAATCTTTCGCCATAACCAACAACTTTGTGGGCACTCAAAAAACTAGAAAAGGAAAAAAATTGCTTTTTGAATAATCGTGTATTGTACTCTTGGAATGCCTTGGAAGAAAATACAGTGTCCGCCGCGAGTGTGAACGCGTTTAAACATCGGTTGGATAAAGAACTAAGTAATAGAGTGAAAAATCAAATAAGAAGAAGCCATTGACGTCAGCGCTGACAAAGATGGCAGATTTCCTTTTCTCTGAGTCCCTCCCATTTAAAGTGAGACAAACGATAAAGCATGTGGCTTCTTTTCGTTTGATTTTTACTCTAATGAAACAAGATAGAAACAACATCTATCTTGAAAAAAATATGCGAAGTATGTGTGCCTCTACAAATTCTGTTGAAGCAATTAATAGAGAAAGGCCAATTTCTAAACGTCCTAAAATTGGCCACTGTGTTGCCTATTTTAAAGGAAGGGGACACTTAAAATATGGGAAACTACAGTCCTATATCCCTGCTCAGCAGCTTCTCAAAAGTTTTTGAATGCATTGTGTATAACAAACTGCACGTGGTATAAATATACGGTGTTCAAGAAGTTACTCATGGTTTTGCTGACTAAATCAATTCATATAGATAGCGCAGATTCATGCCCAAACTATTCTAGCCACGAGTTAAAATCTTATTTTTGATCTTGCTTTGTCTTTCTCGGGGCATAAATTTTCAAAAATTTCTAGTGCTAAGAAAGTATTCGGTTTCACTACAAGAAACACAGAATTTTTTTAGTATTGACATTAGTTTATATCTTGTTGACAGTCTCGTTGTACCCATCTTAGAAAATGGCTGTGTAACATGGTCACCCCAATACGATAATTGGGGTGAAATTATAGAAAGTGCAGCGAACATTCTTGAAGTGTATGTACTAGAGAAAAATTGTTGGGTAATTTTAATAAACTTTCACTGAAGAAAAAGCGAATAGAAATATTTTTATGCACAATGGGTGGTATGAATAAAAACGAAGTACGTGCTACTACTACAAGTATTAGTATATTCTTCGCAGATCTACTTCACAAAGAAGCATTTACTAATTTCCGGTAGTTTCGAAATGTAGTATCTACTTCGTTTTGAAGTAAATACTACGTAGAACATACTAATACTTGTAGTAGTAGCAGATACTTCGTTTTTATTCATACGATCCATTGTATGGGGTTCTATCCAATAATATTGACTGCCGAGGTATTTTGGAGCAACCACCTTTTGCTGTTAGCCAAATAAATTGGAACATTAGATTTTTTTTTTTTCTTGGCCTACCCTATTGGTGCTTCCAATCTATTATTTTGTGTGTTCTATTGTTTAACCTTCATGCCTCAGATGTTACTGATACTTTTATTATACAATGTCGTGCCAGGAATATTGTATTTTTTTTCACCGTTAAAGATTATGATTTTTATGGTTTCTATTCCAGGCTTATCACATGTCAAATTGCGAAGACGTCCGCCTATTCTGCAACGGCTACTATCCAGAAATCCTCGTAATGGACCCGTTCAGCCTAGAAATCCTGTTCACATTGTCCTCAAAACAAAATCCAGATTGGATAAGCGCATTGCACGTTTTGCGTCCCTCGAAACGTAAAGATGACGTTGTGTTAGCTCTGACCACCACTGGAATGGTGAAGGTTTGGACGCTATTGGGTCACGAAAATAAACATTCGGAGCCGATTTACGAAAACGAAAGTAAGCAAATCAGGATTTTGAATGCCGTTTGTTTGCAATGCTGCGCTTATAATCAGAGGACTGTGTTGGTGGTTTGTACCAAATATTGGCAGATTTATGATGCAGGTAAGGACTTGTCGAAATATTTCTAGTAATTTATTGATTTGAAAAACTTGTGTTGACACATCTTTACAGTTATCTCTTCTTACAGGTGATTTTAGTGTTTTGTGCTCTTACCTGACTCCTAGAGGAGAACGATGGATGTCTGGAGATTTCTTGGCTGTAGACAGAATATTAATGTGGTCAGATGCTGGGAAAGGTTACATGTATAAATTGCCAGCCAAGTAAGAACTTTTGATGTATTTTCTTTTGGTCACAATTAACATTTTACTACTGCATCAAAGTACAAGATTTTTTATCAAAAATATCAGGTGTTTGGGCACGTTAAAATTGTACTAAATTGGTTGTGGTCAGTCAGAAATATGAAAAATTGCAGCAAAAACCATTGGTGGTCAGTTACCTATCTTATATTGAAATCAATGATGTTAAAGCTGAAAAGACACCAACAAACGTTTGGGATATTTTACAGCGTCCCATTCTATATATATGAATTAATATTTTTTTACGCCAAGCACGTTTTTGTTACCGTTCTTTATATGGTTGGTATTACTTTGTTACGCGGACTTAAGATTTCAGCTTTAACTTCACTGAACCTTGAAAAAAATCCAGTAGGTACTCAAATTTGTCAGAACAAAAATGCATACTTCCGGACCCTTTTTGGGCTTGACAGCTTTGAGGACTAGAATTTATTGGAGAGGTTTTTGAATGACTCGCTCAATACATGAATTGAAACAAGACTTTATACTAATCAACTAGAATATTACTCAATTTTATGTTTTTTTGTTTAAGCACACAATCATTAGCCTGCAAAATCCATCCGTTATATAATTATACTAACAGATTTTTTTTTTGTTTTTGTTTTTCACTCTCACACTTGTCCTGGAACATGCGTCTCGAACAGAAAGCTACGAGGAAAGAGTATTAACAATAGGTTAGAGCATCATAACATAACTGACTTTTTTTGTGTAAATCTTTCCTTCTCTGTATTTTTTCTATTTAATGCTTTTTATGCTTCTATGCTTATTTAGTAGTTTGGATTTAGCGATAATGATTTTTTGATTGTACACGTCTTGAAGAATCTTTAACACACGAATAAATGTGATACTGGCATCAAATTAAAGTTTTTGATTGGCGTGTATAGGATATCAAACGAGCACACTGCACCAGTTTTGCAAAATATGATTTTTCGCCTGCGCATGCCCTTCTCTTGATTGGCATTGATATTTTTCTTGTCATGCTTTTGCCACCTATAAAAACTTAAACAACTAACTTCTGATTTTATCCTTCTCTTACTATTTTTCAGTGAATACCAAAGAATTTTTGAGCAAATTCAGTTTTATTTTTAGGAACATTTATTCTTTGGTATTCAACCCTGTGGGTATTATTTTCGCAAATAAAAAACTCGTTCTCGATTTGTATTTGCAGCAGTATAGCGGATCACAAGGATTTCCATACAAAAAGTGTCGAAACCGATACACCTTTTTTGTATTGCCTTCTTAGCCAGCCCGATGGATTAGTAAGTATAATTTATTTTCAAAGATTCAGTGAATAATTTTTTTTAACATTCTCTATAAATTTCCACAGCCTCTTTCTTGTCCACCAGCAATGAGACTAGTCACTACCTACCGTAATGGTCAAGCGAAACGATATCTACTTCGGGGCGACTCAGAAGGCTCCGTCTTACTATGGGCCATTCCAGACATTTCACCAGCTCAACTTGAAGCAATAAGGTACAAAAAGAATATTATTAAGAAGATTTCTATAAAAATGGGTTCATATGGAAAAAAAGTCGAGACAACAATTTTACCTATCGCTTATAATGGTAAATGTAAAAAATAAATAAAGTATTATATTATTGTTCGATAGGCTTCGCATAATGATAAAAGTGACTTTGCTGTCTTGAAAATTGTGTGGGTCATTTCCAATTTCCGTCCTAACGTTAAACCTAATTGAAATTCTATCTAACATTTTTGTACTATACTAGCGGTTATTTTAACAGCTACAGGCAAACTATATTCTAGAACATGATTGGAATAGTGAAATTCTACACTCATAGAACCATTCCCAAAAACACATAATTTACGTAGAATGTTACTTATTTCAAACTTGTATATAATACTATTTAAAAAGGGCCCAAACACCTCCTCAACCAGTGACAGCTTCAGCCACAATAACTACGAGCCTAACAAAAGCTTGGAGCTCCGTTCGACCAGACCCTGTTGGTATTTTGGATCAAGTGGAGAAACAAGAGGGACAAGGTGAGCTGCATTGCCATGTTATCAAAAAATATATGATTCTCTTGTTTTGTAGCTATCAAACTTACAGCGAGCATCTACCTACCTCTCCAGAGCCGTCTGGTAGTTGGCCGAGAAGACGGCTCTATAATTATAGTTCCTGCAACCAAAACTGTGATGTTACAATTCTTACATGGGAACCACCAGACATATCACAGTAATTAAAATTTTTTTGAACTCAGTTTTATTGTTTTACAAAATTCAATTTAGATTGGCCGCCGCATCAAATCCTATCCGGCCACCATGGTAGAGTGAATTGTCTGCTGCATCCCCACAGGGAACATCCCAGATACGATAGGAATTTCTTGGTATCTGGAGGCGTCGATTTTGCTGTTTGTCTATGGGATTTGGTTACTGGTTCGTTGCTGCATCGATTTTGCGTGCATGCCGGCGAAATCACTCAGCTTTTGGTACCACCAGATAATTGCAGTGTATGTAAAATTGAAGGACGAAAATTGATCCCAAGGGTCCAGATGAGTCTCAAAGAAAATTTTGTCGTTCATTATTAAAGCTATTGAAGAGATATTTGTTTTTATTTGTTTAGACTATTGACATTTCATTGCCAAAATGGAAAATACATTTCTTTCCTATGAGACTCCTCTTGCCCGTTCTTGAGTGTTTATTGGCCATATATGATGTTTTATTTGAAAAATATATTCTAGGCAAGGATTCAAAAATGTATTTGCTCGGTAGCCTCAGATCACTCGGTGACACTTCTCAGTTTAGCTGAGAGAAAATGTGTTTGTCTAGCTTCAAGACACTTGTTTCCAGTGACGACGATAAAATGGCGGCCCAAAGATGATTTTATGATTATCGGTTGCTCTGATGGCACTGTTTATGTTTGGCAAATGGAGACTGGTCATCTGGATAGGGTGTTACAAGGTAATAGCTGATTTTTAACGAGTTTTCTAGTACATATATATTTTTTTGTATTATAAAGGTATCGCTGCTGAAGAAGTTCTTTATGCTTGTGAAGAGAATGAAGAGCCCAATTCTTCTTCAGATATGGGCCTGGCTAATCCTGCCGTGCATTTTTTCAGGTGAGTTCAACCATACTCAGTTTACTTACTTAGTATGTGTAATCCATATCAGTTTGGTTCTGAGAATTATATCTAGCAAATCCGAAATCAGTTTACATTTAAAAATTTAATCATTGAAGTCCACTGCAAATACCCAGAAAGACCCATCATAAGAGGGTTTATTAGTCTATAAAACTTCACAAATTAAGTATTTGAAAATAAAACATTATCAAATATTTTCTTTAGAGGCTTACGGCACAGAAATCTATCAGCCATTCGTCACGCTACCCAGCGAGGCTTACATCAACTACAACAGCTAAACGCACATACTGAAGTCGGAGATCCTCATGCCAGAAGAGCCCATGGACAAACACCTCTTGGAGTGCAAGGATTCCGTACCAATCCAAAAGGTACCTAAACTTCTTTCTTTAATAAACTGTGACTTGACATAATATCAAATTTTGGTTCCAGATCCGGAAAGTCACATTCTATTCTTTGACATCGAAGCTCTAATTATTGAATTATTAAGCGAAGAGTACTCCATGATGTCACCAGGCAGTCTGGAAGCTGCTGGTCTTATTTCGGCAGCTGAATACCTCAAAGTTGCCGCTTTAACTCAAAGTGCCAGCCCAGACGCTCATAAGAAAATTGCAGGTGAGGTAAAATATAATTTTTTTTTAAATTTATGTCCCTGGTTTATGGGTTAATGGTAGATTTATAGAATAACATTTGTTTCTTTTAATTAAATGCAAGACTTTTTCGGAAAAGTCAAGGACAAAGCGGAAAATATGGAACGGATAATTAAGGAAAAAGATAAACACGGTAAAATTAGACAAAATTAAATTTGTTTTTTATTAATTAATTTGCCACTTTTATTTTGCTTGTATTTTGTTTTGTGCATTTTTTTGTGTGCTTGAAAATCCAAATTCGAATTTTCGGTTATAAGTCTCTCCTTCATAGGTATTTTGGCTAAAATGAAAGAGGGCGCAGAAACTGTACAAACTAAAATACAAGCTAAAGCTGAGATGGTACTTAAGGGGACAGATTCGGGAAAAGGTAAGGATCTTTTCAGATAATTGAATCAGATATTACTGTAATATGCATTTCAAAAAGGTCTTGGCGGTCCTGGCATAAAACTCATTAGTATAGTGCCGGCTCGATATATTACTCTAAAAAATCGGTATAACATTGAGCCTGCTACCATTGTGTTGTTTATTAGAGCTTCAGTCCTAAAATTATAGAACAGTTTTTAGTTTATATCAGTTGTATTGCAAAATATTACCTTTGAGGGGGTTCATTTTGTCCAAATAATAATAATTCTTTGTCTGGCTGTACCAATAATACCTGATATCCATATAGGGGAGCATATACGATTTGTTGGTTATCTGTGTTTATGGGCTTGCCAAAGATAAGTGTAATTTTGAGGGAAATTAATAGAATCTAAAAAAAAAGAACATGTGAATCCCTAATGTTTAATTTTCATGCATTTTAAGTTTCATTAAACATTAATCGTTTCTTACCAGAAAATTGACCTGCATCTTCTTTGGGCTGCAAAATAATATTATTTACTGTATAGGATTTTGCATAATTAACCTGTTAACTTGCATCGAAGAACTGGTTTGTGTAGTGTCCACTATGCACTAAATTATATTGTTCACCTTTACCAGTTAATTGTTGTATGTCATTATGTCAGAGTATGTGAAAATAAAGTTCATATTAAATAGTCAGTAAACTTATCATATCTGCTATTCAAATACTGTACTTCCATAATCAAAGTAAATACATAATAAATTGGCGACGAGGATGGGATAAACCCTTTTACAATGAATGCTGAACAATTTAATACTTTGATGGCTGCACTTACAAAGACTCTACAAGTTAATCAAAATACTACTCCAATTACTCAAGAATCCATTTCAATAGATCCATTCTCAGAAGAAAATGAAAGTTGGGAGATGTTCATAAAAAGGTTAGACAATTTTTTTTCCATGAAGAACTTCACTGGTTCCGCAGACTATATTGATACTAAAAAGAAAGAATGGTTACTTCACACGATGGGTACCAAAACGCTACAACTTATTCACTCTTTAACATGTCCCGATGATCCTAAATCTAAAGATTATACGACTTTGGTTTCTCTTTTACAAAACCATCTTGATCCTTCTTCAAGTATAATCGCAGAGCAAAACCGTTTTACAAAACGTGTCCAACAAGAAGGGGAAACTATTGCAAATTACGTAACTGAATTAAAAAAGATGACGACAAATTGTAAGTTTGTCTGTGATGCTTGCAAAGCTTCGACGTCTGATGCCCATTTACGTCTTCAGTTCATTAGTGGTCTGCGAAATTCTAATTTAATTGAAAGACTAATTCAACTTAAAGAACCAGATAATAAATTTAAAAACTGCGTTGATACAGCACTAACTATGGAATTAGCACAAAAAGATTCCAGAGAAATACATTCTTTACAAACATGTGCGAGTACTTCTTTTCAAAATCAAATTAAAAAATTTTCATTTAAACCTGAACAACAACAAAAAAACATATCTCCTTCGAATTTGTTAAATTTTCAACGAAAGTGCTACAGATGCGGTGATCCACAACATTTGGCAAATACATGCAAGCACAAAAATTCAAAGTGTACAGGATGTCTAAAATATGGTCACGTGTTTAAGGCATGCAGGGGAACTCCTAGGAGAGAAAATGTTCATCAAGTGGAAGAAGAACCAGAGGAAATGGAAAACAACTTTCAGCATGAAGAATTATTTTTTATGAACGTACTAGATAATAATTGCTTACCTGAGGCTTATAAAAAACCAGGCAAAATTCTTTTAAATCTTCAATTAGATGGAGAATCCATTAAATTTGAATATGATACAGGCGCTGCAGTTTCATCGATTTCACAAGATTTGTTTAACGCAAAATTTTCAAAAAAAACATTGCAAAAAACAAATTTACCTTTAAGAACTTACACTGGAGAAATAATTCGACCTATCGGCTATTCAACTTTCCAGGTTGAATTAAATAATCAAATTGAATTACTAAATTTATATATTTTACCAGGGAAAGTTGAACCTATTTTCGGGAGAGAATGGATGCAGAAAATTAAAGTCGATTTACCTGAAATTTGTCAATTACAAAATGAAAATATCCCAGATTTCTTGAAATTAAAAATTATAGAAGAACTTAAAAATAATTTTCCAGAAGTTTTTAAACCAGGTCTTGGAAAAATTTCAAATTATAAAGCTAAATTATTTTTACCAAACAATACAAAACCAATTTATGTTCCTGCTCGAAAAGTTCCCTATGCATTGAAGGAAAAAGTGGAAAGAGAAATCGATAGACTAGAAGAAATAGGAGTGTTAACTAAAATGGAATACAGTGAATGGGGCACACCGGTTGTACCAATTATGAAAAGTGACGGTTCTGTAAGACTTTGCGCGGATTTCAAAATTACATTGAACAAAGTTTTAATAAATGATAAATTTCCGATTCCAAACATAGAAGATATTTTTGCGACTACAATGCACGGAGGGAAAATTTTTACTACTTTGGATATTCGCGAAGCTTATTTACATATGCCAATGGATGAAGAAAGTTCAAGAATGCAAGCAATTACTACGGAAAAGGGAGATTATAAGGTACATAGATTGATGTTTGGAACCAAAGTTGCTCCTGCTATTTGGCAACGTTACATTTCAAACCTATTGGATAAAATACCCGGAGTTTGTGTGTTTTTAGATGATATCAAAATACAAGGAGCTACATTACAAGAGAATGTGAATAGAGTAAGAACTGTTTTACAATGTCTACAAGAAGCTGGTCTTCATATTAAACAAGAAAAATGTAAATTCTTCGAAGAATCCATAACATATTTGGGTCATAAAATTTCAAGCAGGGGTTTAGAGAAAACTGAAGACAAAATAAAAGCTGTCAAGAATGCACCAGTACCGACAAATGTCACTGAGTTAAAAAGTTGGTTAGGATTGGTCACTTACTATGGAAGATTTCTGAAAGATCTTTCTTCAAAAATACATCCTTTGTACAAACTTTTACAAAAGAATGTTATTTTCCGATGGACATCTATCTGTGATCAGGCTTTTAATTTAATTAAAAAGGAAATAACATCTGATCAGATTCTTTGCGCATATAATCCGAAACTACCTTTAATTTTGGCAACCGATGCTAGTCCTAAAGGTTTGGGTGCAGTATTATCTCATATTTTTCCTGATGGTGAACGTCCTATTGTTTTTGCTTCAAGGAGTCTAACGAGAGCTGAAAAAAACTACAGTCAAATTGATAAGGAAGCAACTGCTATTTTTTGGGCATGTAATAAATTTTTTCAGTATTGTTATGGAAGAAAATTCACGCTGATTACTGATCATCAACCTCTAGTTTCTATATTTAATCCAAACAAAAATCTTCCCAGTATGGTAGCTACTCGAATGCTTCATTACGCTCAATTTTTGCAAGGCTTTAATTATGACATTATTTATCGTTCTAGCGAAAAACACTTAAATGCTGATGCACTTTCGAGATTGCCTCAAAAAATCACTCCAGTTTTCAATCAAACAATGGATGGCGTTACAATTCATCAGTTACAACAAATTCTAACGTTACCAGTTACGCATAGAGAAATTGCTAATGAAACACAAGAAGACCCAATATTAAGAAATGTTTACAAAAGTTTACAAACTGGAAAGAAAATTGAAGAAAATGAATTTAAAGGGAAAGATATAGAATTTTCTTTAAACGAAGGTACTATAGTAAAAGATTCACGTATTGTTGTGCCCAAAACGCTTCGTCAAAGAGTATTAAAAGAATTACATGAAGCACATACCGGTATAGTGAGAATGAAATCACTTGCACGTTCTTTCATTTGGTGGCCAAGAATAGATCTTGATATTGAAGAATTGGCTAAGAAATGTCAAAGTTGTCAATCTATGTTACACAACAAAACTAATATTCCACCGCATTGTTGGGAAACTCCGAAAGGACCGTGGCAGCGCGTACATATTGATTTTGCGGGACCGTTTCAAGGAACATACTTTTTAGTAATTTGCGATGCATATTCTAAATGGCCTGAAATTTTTATTACCAAGTCCATGAATACTTTGAAGACGATTTCAATTTTACGAGGTGTTTTTGCACGTTTTGGCTTACCTGTAACTTTGGTTAGTGATAATGGAGGATCTTTTACATCACAGGAATTTAAGAATTTCCTAAAAACCAATGGAATTATACATAAATTTACTGCACCATATCATCCCGCATCAAATGGCCAAGTTGAAAGATATGTGGGAACCATGAAGAATACTCTAAAGAAGATGGTAGATGACCCAGGAGATCTTGATTTGAAACTTCAAAATTTTTTAATGCAATACAGAAAAATACCCCACACTTCAAATAATCAGTCACCTTCTCAATTAATGTATGGGAGAGACATACGAACTAAATTAGATTTAGTTAGATTTCAAAAACCCATTGAGGTGGCAAATCAAGCATCTTCTAAATTTATGGTGGGCGAAAGCGTTCGAGTGAGACATTTTGATAGTAGGAAAAATTGTCTATGGAAATTTGGTAGAATTTTGAAGAGAGAGAGCAATCTTATTTATTTGATTGAAATGGAAGACAGAATAATCAGAAGACATATAAACCATATTGCTTCAACTAAAGTTGAGTGTCCAGTATCACAGCCTAACATTTGTTATGTTCCAGAGGCAAAGCAAACTCTGGACACCGAAAATACTACAAGAGATAATGTTGTAGGTGCTTCATCTACTCAACATTTTTCTTATATTGATCCTGAGCAAAGTAAAAGCACAATTATAATTTCCGATTCGACTCCAGAAGTTTCCACTTCGGCGGAGATGATATTAGATGATCAAGAACCGAGAGACCAAGAGACTTTTCCGGTGGAAAGTACTGATCAAAACATTGAAACTTTTTACCAATCAAAAACCAAACCCAATCAGATACCAGAAAATGCTGAGACATTGCGAAGAAGTATTAGAACGAGAAAACAACCAGAAAAACTGAATCTTTAAATTTGCCAG